GGTCCCTTCTCTTCTTGGTCCCCCCCCTTCTTGGTCCCTTCATGGTCCCTTCTTGGTCCCTCCCTCCCCCCCCCCCCTTCTTGGTCCATGCAAAATTATGTAGAGCTATGTGAGTCGCCTGAAGGAGGCGAAGCACCAGAGGTTGGCGTTGGGTCGGTGGCGTGTGGATACGGGTCTGGATGGTGATAAGCTGGGTTGGTCCCGGACCGTGAGTCTGTCTGCGGAGCATGTGTTATCGGGTGGTGTTCGTCTATTGTTCGATATGCCACCTGTCGGTGGGGTGGAGCGTGTCGTCTTCGGAGGAGTAAGTTTGACTGACGGCGACCCCGTCCCCACTGCTCTGGATGATGATATCAGTGAGGTCTCTTGTAGCCCCGACCGGAATTGGTGGCTTGACCAGATTAAAAGGGTTCCCCTAACACCCCTAAGAAATTAGATAGATAGATTTTTCCACCATGTGGGGGTCCATACTTTCAGCATTCACATCAGACATACCAAGGGATTTTCCATACAACGTTGATAGGACAGGACTCATAAAGGATGAATTAACCATACTTCAAAGAACCATCGCGACGCACAAATCCGACGAGTACGCTACATAGTCGCTACATAGTTACACCACTACATAGTCGCTACATAGTTACACCACTACATAGTCACTACATAGTCGCTACATAGTTACACCACTACATAGTCACTGCATAGTCACTACATAGTTACACCACCCCAACGTGCCCTGATTGAAGTGAATGGTAGAACACAGGCGAATGCATATGTTTATGACAAGAAGACAGGTAGCCCAGAGGAGATGGAGTTGGTGCAAAGGATCGTTAAGAACGCCAAGACGGTAAGGCATCCGTTTATCGTAAGTGTGTTAGAAGTATTGGAGACTACGGCGGCTTTTTACGTAATAACCGAAAAGGTGACGAAACTAAGCGAATGTCTTATTGATCCGGACGCTACATCACTTGCGGGCGAGACGATGCCCTGGAACCTGAAATGCGTCTCTGAAGCGATACAATTCTTGCATGAGACTGCTAACCTGACTCACGGCTCACTATCCATTGAGAGTATTTGCTGTTGCGTTGACGGCCAATGGAAAATTTGTCTAATGGAAACAGCTGTAGAGGCTAGAAGTGTTGACGACGTACGGCGATGGGTTGGCAAACACCCCTTGCGGGTCTTATACTCCGTTGCTCACCCCAAATACTGTCTCACCACCGATGCTCAGCCAACACCAAATCAGCCCCCATATGTTTGCGACCGCGTTATGTTTGCGTCATTAATCGCCTATCTGCATGCCGCCTGCTCGTCTCGGGGTTCAAGCTTGCTGTCTCGGTGGTCATATGACGTCCACAAAAATAGCTTGCCAAACAATATCCGAGAATTCACTCAAGTAATGTTGTTCATAAACAAACGAGAATTCACTCAAACAAATATTATGTGCTAACGTTTTAGGCTTTGGTTTCATCACCAAGATCGGATAATTTTGAATGGAGTAGACACATTTCCTCATGCTCATACTTTACTACCCCTATTGTCGGTGTAATGGGCTTCTTTAAGGATTTTGCTTTGAAGGGCAACTGGGATAAGGAGCGGTTCCTAGATAGTACCTTAAATGACGCGATTTCTCAGCAGCCGGTGATTGTACAAACACGTGTGCTATTGCCGCGCGTTGCGCGCTTATTTCGAGAGGAGTCGTTGTTGCCGACTACCCTTCGTCCGGCGGCTCTTCGATGCTTTGCCAGATTATTGGGCAATGCAGGATCTTATTCTGAGGCTGAGTTCAATTCATTAGCGTGGCCCAGTGTTTTGGAACTGTTCAAAGACCCGCAAAGGAGTACCCGTTACATCATGCTCCAGACGTTGGGTCGCTATGAGAATCTGCTAAGTCAGAGTCAAGACGAGGCGTTGTTGCAGCTTATATTACCGGGACTGTTGGATACTTCGATGGAGTTACGAGACGTAACCTTGCGATCGGTTGCCTCAATAATTCCTCGACTTCCAGTAAAGAGCACGATCGTGAACAATGCTCTCAAGACAATTATGGGATTAATACAACAGGATGCTTCGGAACAGATACGGACAAACGGGGTGATCTGCTTAAGTCGACTCGCCACTTTTTTCCCCGCCGACAAGATAGCGCCAGGAGTCATAGTTGGCGTTAACGACTCTTTTCCGCCCTGCCGCCTGGCTGCAATTCAGTGCATCCAGAACATCGCAGGCTCCCTCTCGCCCAAGGAAACAGCCAACTCGTACATACCGACCGTGTCCCGACACCTACTGGACAGTGATCCCGAATGTTCCCGAGCAGCGTATCATGCCCTGCGGGAACTCATCGAAAAATGGTCTCCCGATCATGTCGCCAAGGTGCCCGAGTCAAGAGGCACTTTCTTCAAAATCTCCAACGACCGGATCTATTCCACCCTTTGGGGTCGCAAGAACACTTCCACACCACCGACCAAGGACACCGATGTGAGGAAACAGTCGGATGAAGACGGCGCCGTCTTCGAGGACGCAATTTCACCCGACGTTAACAGCGGCATCACCAGCCACAAACCAGGGGTGGACGTTGACCTCGGAATGATCGCCAACTCCGGACCGTACCAGGACGCGTCCGGTGGTATCCGACTAGTTCCTGCTCCGCCAGTTCCTCAGGCTCCGCCGTCTGCTCAGCCAGATTCGCTGGAGCATAACCAGACACGACGGCAACCTGATGCAACCGAAGCGCCGGTGGGCCGACGTAATTCCCGAGTGTATTCGGCCTCAGTCGGTCTTCCAGACAAGGGTCAGCCACAAGACAAGGGTACTCGACCGGAATTAAGAAGTGGCGACCTGGCACCACCCAATAAGGACGCACTAAACAAGGACGCACTGAACAAAGACCCCACCTGGGGACCCGCGGGACTGAACAAGACAGCCAGCGTGGGGTGGCTGGCGCCAGATCTTACAGGGCCCAGCCCCGGCTCGGACAAAACGGAAACTGACTTTTGGAACGGGATGGATGGCGACGGACTGGACCGAAATCGCGTTATGAAACGAAGCTTGAAGACTAAGCGAAGACCTGCCGCCGTGGAATAAGGCAAGGACGAGCGAGGTAGACATGCGATCTGAAGACTTGCCGCCTGAAAGCGTGAAAGTCTCCAAATGCCAAGCTTGATTCCCGCTACGGTGGGCTGGGAGGGGACGATTGGGACTCGACTTGATGGACGACTCGATGGATTTATGTCCGATCGGAAGGTATCTCGCACACACGTGTTTCCTGCAGGTGCACATGAGGTGGACTACTTTAATTCGAAAACTATTGCCGTCTGACGGCTCGTCTGTGCACAAGCAGTCCAGCCGACGACGGCACCACTTCCGGCGACATGCGAAAAGTCAATGGCGAGACGATCGACTTATATCGGAACCGTCCACGCAGTGTCTGGTGTCCTATAATTCCTTTGTAAGCGGGAAGATAGCCAGACACACATCGCTCATTTATTAGGTTTTAGGAACTCCCAGCACCAATAGAAACACCTAGCCCCCTTAGCTAGCTGACTCGACCAGCTGGCTACTTTGACCAGCTAGCTGTTCGACCAGCTGGCTGTTTGAGGTTGGTCCGAACTGGCTCCCAGTCCTGGTGATCTAACTCCCAGCCCTAGCTCTTAGTTCTAGTCCTGCCAACCTGACCCGTGCGTTACTTCCCGGTTGACCTAGCCGGCTGCACGCTCCAGGTGCAACTGATGGAAACGCGCCGCGCGGTCCAATTGAAGCTGGCGCATGAGAAGACCGTGGCCGAGGAGCTAGTGATGGACCTGTCGTCTCCGGACGAGAATGCAATAAATCAGAATCTATGGCACGAGTTCATCAAGGCCGACATTGAATTCTTGCTCACCGTTGAGCTTCCCCCCCAAGAATTTTTTTACTGAAGGCACACCCCAGATACAGCGGCACCTCGAACTCTTCTAAACAAAGCACAATTTCGCCTGGGCGGAATGAAGCTGTGAACGGACAACAACTTGTTGGTGACAACATGTAGGTTTGCGCTTACCGGGAACGTTGCAGGGATCCTCCATAGCCGATCTGACACTGATCGTGGACATGACTGAAGGGGTGTACGTAGGCGGAGTAACGGGGCTGGCTGCCCACTTGACGAGTTTCGGGGTCGGCAGCAAATCTCCGGGACTAGGGGTGTGGATTGCTGAGTCTGGAGTCAACAAACGCATAGCAGTTCTGGATGACATCTGTGGACTTTCCACAACCAGTGATCTCCTGTTCGGGGTGTTCAAGGTCGGAGTGGGCAGCGAAGGTGTGCTCAAGAGCGATTTGTCGAGACGCGACCTGTCGAAACCGGGTCCGTTGAGGCCGGTTCTGTCGAGGCCACGTCCATCGAGACCGGCCCTGTCGAGACCTAGCCCAGGTCCGCCGTCGAGAGACGAGCTAGTCAGATAGGGACATGGATTGGGAGTGGTGGAGGGACTCAGTGTCGGTCGACTGAGAGGACTAAACATGGAGCACCGCTTAGGCACGTCGGTCGGGCGCATGCTCCCCATCGTAGGGGACAAACCGTATCGTGAAACGCAGTCTTGTTCATCGTCGTCGCTCGTTGTTTCATCGAGGAGTTGGTCGTTGAGTATTTGGTCGTTGAGTGTTTGGTCTTTGGGTAGTTGGTCGTTGGGTAACGGATATGACCGTCCGGTGGTGCTGAACGACTTGGGAGTAGGACTACTGGAAGGAGTCCTGCCACCACTGACTTTGGATGTGCGGATGGTTGAGTGTATTACACTCGCCAGCTGGCCTGTGCCCAAGGTCTGACGCAAGCCGCTGGGTGTCTGCAATAAACCGCTATGCGACGGTCCGCTATGCGACGGTCCGCTATGCGACGGTCCGTTATGTGACGGCCGGGTATGTCGTTTGGAAGTCCCGCTTGTGACGGGCATAGTGGCATTGTGGGCGAAGGGAGAAGGAGTGTGAAGGCCCATGGGAGGAGTGTATCCTGGAGACTCCATTAGATTAGATATGGAGTATGGACGACTGGCGGTGGCATTATCATAGTCGTGCCGTGTCGGCGTGCTCATGAGGGTCTCCTTGTCAATGGAGCACATGTTTCGTGCGCGTCCGAAATGGCTGGGGAATATATCTGTGATGTACTTGGCTAAGGCTATGAGGGTGATGGGCAAGCTGTATGGTGGATAAATGGGTTCAGGGCAGGCTCTTGACGACGACTTAGTCTTGGCTGCAGCTGATAAATTGGCTGCAGCTGCCGTAAACTTGTTCAGGTGCTGATGCACTCGGTCAATGGACATTATCTCATGGGCTAAGCCGACGATGTCATCCTTAATTGCTGCGATGTTTTGGCCTCCCGCCACCACAGCATACAGGAATCGGAAGTCTAGGGTGTCTCCGAAGGCATCACAATCTACCCTCTGCACGCAGCCTTGAAAAATTCTCAACACTTGTTCATCGACGACTTTACTGAGAAATTCATGTGTCTCTAGATCGTACCACACATAGGAGTTATTTGGGGAAAGCTCAGGACCAGAAGGACTGTGGTCAAACCCTGACCGCCATCCGGAAGGCCCCAAACGTTCAGTGGTAACAGGCATATTGGCAAGAGGGGTAAGACGGGTATTGATAAGGCGAGAACTGAGAGTCCGCGCAGGTGTATAGATAGCTAACTTTCCTCTTTTCAACTTCCTTTCGGAAGTTGAAGTCGCCAGTTCAGTCCCTTCTACGGGACGAACGATTTCCGCCGAAGAATACAATTCTTTTCCCTCGCATCCTGAATTGCTGAACTCCGAATATTTCCTCGATGGCATTTTCCTCTTCGATATTTTTGATCGGTCAGAGCTTTCAATGGTCTTCCGATTGTTGGAATTTCCATCCTTGTCATCGCTACCGTGCATTCGATCCTGTGTTGTGCACATTACGTCAGCTTTCTTTTTCGAACGCGTCTTGACACTTAATTGATACTTATAACTACTAATGTTCTCATCTACTAATATTGCACAAAGTTGTTTACTTCCGAACGTCACCATGTTCATCTTGTTGTCGAACACATACACACCAAGGTCAAACACTCCACTGGTCTTTATAAACATTCAACAATAGGGGGTATGATACCAACAGGGGGTATGATACCAATAGGGGGTATGATACCAACATGATACCAACAGGGGTGAAGGTGAGTGTATGTGCTGGTGTATACTGGAGTTGGACATCTTGCAAAAGGTATGAAATACAGCAAAGGTGACTGGTTGCCGGTACTAGTGGGAGCACTGGTTAGGATAAATGCTACTGGCTTCATATTGTTATAAAAGACCTATTTTTAAAAACAAATAATGTGACCCTGGACAGTCATCACAACAGGGTGTTCGAAACTGTACAGAGCCATCAAATCTGAATTGATGCTCCCATTTGTCAATGATCGCCAGGCAAGTGGCTGACCACGGGGGGCATAACGACATTCTTACATTGCTGTCTGGCAACCCCTGAACGCTAACCAATAATGTCGTGGCCAACCTCCCATCCTCAGAGCACACATGTTTCCATGTATGAGAATATATTAAATACCTACACAAAGAACGTCATGACAGCATGTAGAAACACATAGAAGGAAGTGATTGAAGGACGTGATTGAAGTACGTGATTGAAGGACGTGATTGAAGTACGTGTTTCTCGATGTGGGTTTCAAAAACCTCCTCGGTATCTTGATAATCATTATTGATTCATCAATATGAATCGAATCGATCGCCTCCATAACATCCTCTTGAATTGGATGTTTCACTAACCTGAAATGTTGCACTAACGTTAGACCATTTGAACCATGGTGTCCACTCCATCTCATGAGTGTTTCCACTCCCTGTCGATGACATGTTCCGATGGGATGGTGGCGTCTTACTGATGTCGGTGTCCGTTGAACCAAACGTGTTCGGGTACGTCTGAGTTCTTCGGACACTGCAAGTACTCCAGCATTGCCTTCATGTATCCCAGTCCTAAGTAATCTACAACTAAGATTTTCTCAATGCCGAGAGTGTTACCACCCAAGAGTGTTCTGAATGCCAAGAGTGAGAGTGTTCTGAATGCCAAGAGTGAGAGTGTTCTGAATGCCAAGAGTGAGAGTGTTCTGAATGCCAAGATCTTACACAATATGCTGAGGGTCATGGCCTTATTGCTGAACACTTGCAACACTGGGTTCCTTGCGGGGTTCATTTTTCTCTAAAAAGCTGGGTTTAAAGAAGTGGTCTTATAACGCGCGTTCAATCTGAACTGAACTAGCCCGATTGTTAGCCCGATTGTTAGACGAATTCAACTGAGTCGCGTTGCCTCCACGAGTCATCGACTATTTGCTGAATGTCGACAGCGCTTCTAGCGCACCACAGAACTCGTGGAAACTGCCACATTTTCGTGGCTCTCAATGTTTGACTAATCTATGTGAATGAAGTAGGTGCATGTGGTAGGGAATTAAGTGCATGTCGTAGTAGGGAATGTGGTGGTAGGACTGTAGTGGTCGGGCTGTAGTGGTCGGGCTGTAGTGGTCGGGCTGTAGTGGTCGGACTGTAGTGTTGTTAGGTGATGGTGTGATGGTGAGGTGTTACGGTGAGGTGTGATGGTGAGGTGTTACAGTGAGGTGTTACGGTGAGGGGTGTCGGGACATGATCTTCGAATTGAAATTCGAGAGTTGTCTGGTCCCGAATTATGAACACGATATGGCATCCGGCAAGACAGGCTACGGCTAGGGCAAGGGCTGCAGCTAGGACAAAGGCCATGGTAAGGCAGTATTCCTCTCTCTCGGTTAGCTCCTGTTTGTTGAAGATCCGCCAGCTGAGTACGAAAGTGGTCCAAGGGCGATAGAGCCAGAGGGTGGCAACAGTTAAGCCTGTTATTGCCCACTGGAGAAAGGACATGAATAGATGGTAGTTGTTTTGCCCGACGCAGGCATTAACCCAGGGACAATGATGGTCCATTCGGGAGACGCAAATATCACAAATCCTGCAGTGGTGGGCTCGAGGGTATTTGATGCGTGGGGGACGGCACTTGTGGCACACCGGTGCCACCCAACCATGTTCTGTAACCTGATTCACACTCGCTGGGGGCAAATCTGGATGAGCCAAAGGCGGAGATCCAGGCTTAGTCCTAATTAACCTCGTATACGCCGTAATAGTGTTCCCCAATATCCACATTCCTGGGAACATGTAGTACCACGGCTTAGGATAAATCTGATGCCATTGGAGATACAAACACTCAGCCGTAAAGAAACATATCAACGAATACGCTAAAGCAACTAGAATCGGTCCCAACAACCTTGGAAACACCTCAATGCCATACTAAAACCAAAACAAGTCAATGCTGGAAAGGAAATGAAAGAAAGGAAATGAAAGAAAGGAAATGAAACAAAGGGAGTACAGTAGTATTATCGTGCAATAACACAGGTCGGGGGTATACTAGTGTCGGGGGTATAGTAGTGTCGGGGGTATACTAGTGTCGGGGGTATAGTAGTGTCGGGGGTATAGTAGTGTCGGGGGTATACTAGTGTCGGGGGCATACTAGTATGCTTCTGGCTGCGTGGGCAGCAAGCAATCTAAGTGACCATAGTACTTGCCTCATTAGCGTACTGGATGTCTCCACTACTTGGTTGTTGGTGTATTTTGGAGTGGTCGGTGTTTTTTATCAATGAGCTCGAAAATGTTCGTGATAAATCGTCATGGCGAGAAGGAGGCAGTGTACTTTGACAAGATTCTGAATCGCATATCGGTATTAGCGGAAGGGTTGCATCCGTTAGTGGATGCTACTAAGGTTGCACAGACAGTTATCAATGGAATGTATGCAGGCATATCTACGTCTGAATTAGATAATCTGGCTGCACAAACGTGTGCGTATATGGCTGCGACTCATCCCGATTTTTCCAAGTTAGCTGCAAGGATTGCTGTGAGTGATTTACACAAGAATACAGAAGATGATTTCGCACACACGATACATAAATTATATTATTACGAAGATAACAATGGACGTAGTGCGTCATTAATAGGTGATGATGTATATAAATTTGTTCGAGATAATGCAGTGGAATTGAACAGTATGATAAAGTATAGTCGAGATTTCGACTTTGACTATTTTGCGTTCAAGACATTAGAAAGAGGATACTTATTAAGAATCAACTCACGTGTTGTAGAAAGACCCCAACATATGTTCTTGAGGGTAGCTTGTGGTATCCATTGTGGGGACTTGGAAAGTGTTAGAGAGAGTTACGAGCTAATGACACAAAAGTTCTTTACTCATGCTACCCCTACCTTGTTCAATGCAGGGACGGCAAGACCTCAGATGTCCTCCTGTTTCCTTCTGCAAATGGCAGAGGATAGTATCGCAGGTATATTTGAGACATTAAAATCATGCGCACTCATCAGCAAATATGCAGGAGGTATTGGGCTTGCAGTTCATAAAGTCAGGGCTACAGGAACTTACATTGCGGGAACCAATGGAAGAGCGAACGGAATCATTCCAATGCTCAGAGTTTTCAATGACTGTGCTCGCTATGTAGACCAAGGAGGTGGCAAACGCAAGGGCTCATTCGCAATCTACTTGGAGCCATGGCATGCTGATGTGTTCGACTTTATTGAACTCCGGAAGAACCATGGTAAAGAAGAACAGAGAGCAAGAGACTTATTTCTAGCTCTATGGATATCCGACCTATTCATGGAAAGAGTACAATCTGATGGTGCTTGGAGTTTAATGTGTCCTCACTTATGTCCTGGACTTGACACCTCTTATGGAAAAGAGTTTGAAGAGCTGTACATAAAGTATGAGAATCAAGGTCGTTATGTCAAACAGATCAAGGCACAATCGTTATGGTTCGCCATTCTACAATCCCAAATTGAAACTGGAACGCCATTCCTAGTTTACAAGGACGCGTGCAACAGAAAAAGCAACCAGAAAAATTTGGGTACTATTCAATCAAGCAATCTCTGCACTGAAATAGTGGAGTATACCGCACCTGATGAGATAGCTGTATGCAACCTCGCTTCGTTGTCCTTGCCAAAGTTTGTCGATCTTGATAGCCGATCGTTTGACTACGAAAAACTGAGACGTGTCACCCATGTAGTTACGAGAAACTTGAACAAGGTGATTGACAGAAATCATTACCCTGTTGAGGCCACGAGGAAGTCCAACATGCGCCACAGACCCATTGGCATCGGTATTCAAGGTTTGGCCGATTGCTTAATGCTCCTCAGATATCCCTTTGAAGCACCTGAAGTTATCAAACTAAACAGGTCTGTGTTCGAGACCATATACTTTGCGGCTCTGGAGGAGTCATGCAGACTAGCTCAGGAGTCTGGCCCCTACGAGACCTTCAAAGGTAGTCCCGCAAGCCAAGGAATATTGCAATTCGATCTTTGGAATCAGGAATACGAGATGAAGGGATTGGACACTAGAGTGGAATTAAGCGGCATGTGGGATTGGGCGGAATTGAAAGAGAAGGTCGTGAAATACGGTCTTAAGAATTCGCTCTTAATCGCACCCATGCCGACCGCTAGCACTTCTCAGATCTTGGGTAACTGCGAGTCATTCGAACCGTACACCAGCAACATTTACACCAGACGTGTTCTGAGTGGAGAGTACTTCGTGGTCAATCCTCACCTGTTGAAAGACTTGCTGGACGCGGGGCTATGGAATGAGAGCATGAAGCAGCGTCTCATTGCCCACAATGGCAGTATCCAGAAACTACCGGAAATTTCAGACGAGTTAAAGGCGCTGCACAAAACCGTGTGGGAGATTAAGCAGAGAACACTCATCGACTTGGCTGCCGCAAGGGGTCCGTTTATCGACCAGTCGCAGTCGCTGAATCTGTACGTGATGAATCCCTCGTTTGCCAAGCTCTCGTCCATGCACTTCTACGCCTGGAAAACGGGGCTTAAAACGGGTATGTATTACCTCAGGACCACCTCTGGGGCGGACCCAATTAAGTTCACTATTGATGTCGCGACAGCCACTCAAGCTAACAAGACGGCACAAGTGGGTGCTAAAACTCCGATTGTGCAGAATGAAAATAAAGCTCCCGTTGTTTGCCCACGACGAGCCAGAACTACCACCGCTGACGGTGAAGATGAAGATGGTCCCTGTCTCGCCTGCAGTGGTTAACTGCCACTGCACATGTGCACAGCTGACCAGAGAGATAGGTTAGATAGTTAGATAGTATTAAAAAAACATGGAGGAGCTTGCCACCGCTTTGCTTTGGCAATTACCTGGTGACAGCGCATTTGATGATATCACTCAATTCGGACAATTATGTCCCCCATTGGGAGATGAGGTACTTATCAGACTGCAACGACCAAATCTCCTGATCAAAGACAGCAGTGCTCAACCACCATGTCATTTCGTGGCGAATGACCACTGCAAAGCTGCTGGAGCATACAAGTCACCTCTATCTGACAATTGGATCAAAGCAGACGGTACAATTGTCTCTACAAATGACCTACCAGCAGGCGTTCTTCGACTTGAAGAGTATGATCATATAATACTCCCCTACAGCCCCTATCACAGAAACCAATAAATATAGGTAGTTTTCTAGATCTGATTCTACCATTGAATTCCGCGCAAGGCTTCGTGATGAGATGAAACAGTTCTATACTACACATTACCCTTCAGCCCATCATTCGGAATATATGTGGGCTGTTAGTACTAATAGATATGCAGTTACAGTCCTAACTAAAGCGTGTAAGCTGGGTATACAAATGTTTGTTGCACACGTATTTCGACAAACACACGTATTTCGACAAACACACGTATTTCGACGAACACACGTATTTCGACAAACACACGTATTTCGACGAACACACGTATTTCGACGAACACACGTATTTCGACGAACACACGTATTTCGACCGTACTGTTCAAATATGTTTACCTGCAGTTCATAACTTGCCAGTTAAGGAAGAGGGAGTTCATATGCATTGTGAGATCGACTTGATACAATCTATGGCTATATTCGTTGGACCGACTACAGTTCATCAACTCAAGACTATCGGGTACATAACCATGGTATCTAAGACACCTGCAGGCGTCATGAAGGTCACTGGTAAAGCCATACACAAAAGTGATAATGCCGAGTACATTCATAAGTCGGTCATATCATATATGTTTGTTGCAATAGCCATCCAGAAGTTCCAAGAAAGCATTGCCCGTATACTAGACAAATTGGTTACCAAAATCCCAAAGGCAGCGATGAAGGATCTGAATACTCTCAGGTTATGGAGCATGCATGATGTTGACATAAATACTGATATTCAGTCTCTATTAAACAAAGCTGAGGTCATATCAGAAGTAGGTGGGGAATAGAAGGGTGGTGCCCCATACCATCACTGAAGCCTTAGTGGAAAAGGATCAGTGAGTATTTGGTCACACCAAGTTGCGCGGGTTGAATATCATGACTTGGGACTTTTTGGGCAAGGTCAGAAAGGTGAGGGAAATCAGAAACACGGGGAAAATCCCCCCCCCCTCGGGAATGGATGCCCACCCCCCCCCCCCCCCCCCGGTTTTGTTGTGTCTTTTTATAATAGGTGTTTCGTAATTTGTTCAGATCTATTATGGTGTTCATATTACGGACGTACCCATCATGGATTAAGTGGCTATGTGCTATAATGACTATTGTTGCGGGTGTGTTCTGTTCTATAGTGTTCAAATGGCAGAATAAGATAGATGTGAAATATTGTGATTCGTGTGAGACTCAGAAGTTTGAAGGTGCTTTATATCAGACTCAGCAAATGTTTATTGGTGAGAGTTTGTCCTTACCATTGTACTATTTGGATGCCTGGTTTTCGGGGCAGAAGAACAAGGCTCCTATGTTTGATTTTGCGAAGAGTGCAGATATTTACGATAAGCCAATAGGTCCCTTTTGGTATTGGCCGATATGCAGTGCGTTTGATTTTACGGCGACGTTGATGATTATGACAAGTCTGCAGATTACGTATGCTGCTACGGTGCAGATGTTGCGTAATTTTATGGTCGTATTAACGGCGATTCTACAGCCTGCTATGTTACGTAAGGCTGTACGTATACATGAATGGCTTGGTGTATTTGTGATTACTATTGCCATGGTTCTCACTGCTGTCCCCGCCTTCTTGTCCCCCGACGATAGCGGGAACACGGACACCGGCAAGGTCGTACTTGGAATCGTCCTCGCCATTGTCGGTACAAGTGTGCAATCTGTTCAACTGTTGCTCGAAGAATGGTTCCTTCGCAAAAAACGCAGCTCGCCACTCCGCTGTGTCGGATGGGAAGGCATTGGAGGCCTAGTATACTCATTCATCGCCTGGCCGATCTACCAAAAGATCGGCACTGAGGACGTCACCGGCTCCTGGTACGCTTCTATACACTCCGGTGCCATCTCAGGCATCACTATTGTCTACCTGCCCATGGCCGCCGTTTTCAACATCGCTGGTCTAGCCACAACCCTACTCGGCAGCGGCTTACTTCGAGGTGTATGCTTCGCAGTTCGATCACCCCTTACCTGGATCATTTCCCTAATCGTCAAGTGGCAAGATTACGAAAATTATTCACTAGCCTCCGCTCTCACCTTCTGCGTTGGCTTCGCTCTCTACATCAACCTCATCGGCTTCCCACACGGACATCCCGTCCACAGATGGATGTCCAAACCCGTTCCATGTTTCTGCACAAACCCCGAACTCGATGAGCCCTACGACATCGAAGACTCAGAAAATCCAGCACTCGCAGACATAGAAGCTGCCGCCGCCGGCAGTCCATCCTTCTTCGGCGGTCGAAGCGGATCACACTACGCTCATTCAGAGGTCTAGCTCCTCGCTCAAGACGTCACAGTCCTGCTGGCACCACAGTCCTGTCGCACGGGGCAATAAGCGTGTCACCTGGCGGGGATTTCACCTGCCAAAAAACTGACGTGATTTTGACTCAAGGTACCAAAGGAGCTCCAAGCTTAGGTCTAAGCTTGTCAAGAGCACTCTGTGTACCGACATACAAGGAGGTCTTATGATTGCCTGTCGCTTGTACGTAGCACTGACAAGCTTGTGGGACCAATATCCCATAGGCTGTCTACAACGATAGCAGCAGAAGGCCTCACCGCGAATCAAGGTTAGAGACTTTTTATCGTCCAGTCTCCAACCCGTACTTCATTTTCTTCTGTATCTTATTCCTAGGCACCAACTGTTGATCCGTAATGTATTTATCTTTGGGGTGTGGGACTTTTGGGCGTTAGGCTGCGGGGGCTGTGTACCGACCCCAATTGTGTTTGAGTACAAAACTCAAACACAACCGGGGTCGATACACACACGCGTGTGCCCCCCC